GAGTGGGTGGGTGGCTCCCCACAGGGGCAGACCAACACCAGGGTCCGTCGGCGTTGCCGGTGCGGGGTGAGCAGCGCCTCAAATGCCAGTGCACGCAGGACTGGCACAAGCCGCGCCGTCCTCAAGGAAGCACCCACCTCAACATCGGGGCCGTCAGCTCTGCCCCCTGTGGATTCCTCGATTTGCTGCCGTGCACCTCCTGCGGAAGTGCCACCCACCCACACGCGCGCGCGCCCGCGTCTCGCCGCCCCACCGCCAGGCGGTGATCGAGGGTCTTGGCATCACCCTGAGCAAGATGATGGCCGCGCCCCCGCCAGGCGCGCCCATGCAGCAGCCGCCGGGCATGCCGCCCGGCGCGCCTGGCGTGCCGCCGCCGCTCCCCCCCTCGCTGGGGCCGGAGGCGGTGCTGTCGCCGGCGGCGGCGCCAGGCGGCGAACTGGCGGGCGCAGGGATCGGCGGTGGCGCGGCCCCTGGCGGCGGCGATGCTGGCAGCAGCGGCGGCGGCGGCGGCTTTTGGTCTTGGCTCAGCGGCGGCGAGGACAAGGTGATGGAGGCTGGGGTGTCTGCCGTGCTGCTGCATGGCTGGGGCAGAGCAAAGTGCAAAGCACGCAGCTGCCCTACGTATCAACCCTGCCGCATGCTGCAGCCGCCCCTGCAGCTGGCAGGCGCTGTCACATGCGACCTGCCGCCTCTGGCGCGCGTCTGCAGCCCCCTGTCTCCCTCACCCTCACCCGACCTTTTCACCCAAACAACGTGCGCCGCCCTCAGAGCAAGGTGGCCTCACCCAGCAGCAGCGAGCCGCACACGTTCTCGGACGACAAGTTTGCCCCGCCGCCGATGCCGGAGGGCTTCAAGAGCCATTGAAGCGGCCGGGCTGGGAGGGCGCCACTGTCAGTGGCAGTTGAGGGGGCCGATTGTCGTCAGGCATTTCTTGGTTGGGGTACAGAGCGCACCGCAGCGTCCTCATCTGAGGAATGAGTAATAAACACGTGTCACTAGCTTTCCGCTATTGCGTCTTGAAGTGCAGCAGCTGTCAAGATGCCAGCAGGGGGTTGCAAGGGTTGGGAGCAGGGGGACGCCAGGTGCCTGGATTGCAGTCGGCAGACAAATCAATTCTGATTATGGGTGTTGCAAAGAAACATGATTATTTTTCGCGTTTCACTCCGTCAGTCAAGCAGCATTGCACGAGGCCACGTTTCAGACGGTGCCTCCAGTGG